TTCTCTCTGAAACTGCTCGCAGAAACATCTAACTTTCCCGTATGGCCTAAAAGAACAAAAATAGGTTTGTCTTCGGTATGAAGCCTGTGTATCCTCTGTGCACAAAGTATCATATAGCAAATGACATGATTTGGCAGAATCCAGACAAGTGACAGGATGTTGTTGTTCTTGCCGGCGGTATCGAACAACTAACAATTTGTTAAAAAATCCGTAATACCCGGGGTTTTTATTTTATATGCCTACGGATCAAGATATAGCCATTGGTGTTTGAACAGTTCATTGTTGGATCCATCAAAGTAGTGAAGTTTTGAGCATATGACCTACAGATTCTAAAATTCCGTGAAGCGCTGACCTGCTTAACGATCCCCTAGACTATTGGAAGCAGCGAGACGGCGCGATTATGCCGTGTGAATCCGGAGTAGTGTCAGGAGATTGCCTTCTTGCCGGCGGCATCGAAAATTTGCTAGTAAACACATAATACTGAGGTTAATTTTGATGATTTAGTAAATGTGTTATGTTTTGTTCAGAGAGAAAACGCCGACCGTGGTCTCTGGTTCTTCGTTTCATGTTTGTGTTCAGCATACCTCTGTCATGAGCAGATTGACCTTAACGATGTGACAGTCTTGTCAAGTCATTCTGCCCCTTTTGACGACTGCTGTGTTTTTTGGGAGAGACTTTCGTGAGTATTTCGGGAATAATAAGAGTATACTTTATCCGCATTACACTCTTATGCGACTCCATACTCTGATCGTTGCCTTTTTTCAGAATTGACTTTTAGAAGGAATATTGGTCTAGCAAAAGAAATACTATAATCTCACACCTGGTCGAAAGAACTTAGGTTCATCGTCTGTATTTATAGTTCAGTTAATCATCGCCAAGACGTTATGTTCTCTGAAAAAAATAAATTAAACTGTTGGATTAGAAATCTGCGCACATTTGATTGTCAAACCTTTATTTGTTCGACATTGAATTCCTATCATTAACTACATCTACGTTTTGTAAATATGTGCATGCACAACCCTTCATTATGTATGCCCTCAAGAGTTGCGTCGATAATGTAGTTCCTGCCGAACCGAACGGCGATCATTCGGGTAACTACCACCAGACACTGGGCAGTGCGATTCGCGCGTGTTTTGCCACGAAACGCGCTTGAACTGATTGCATTAATTCGTTGGGCTGTCGGTGTGCATTCTCTTACAACTGATGCTAATCTGTACGTTTAAGATGTTGAACATGAACTGGCTATTCACGACGGTACAGTTCGTGATCTGATATTTATGGAGGACACAAGTAATCACACCAGCTTGCTGATCAGTGGTGGTGCCGGTAACTGCCATATTCAGATAACGG